GCATGCAAATCCAACAGTTCGTGACGTTAAGTGTAAGAGCAGTGCGCCTGGCATCCCATACAAAAGCATTAAAAGCCCACAGTCCCTGATCCTCATATGCCTGGCTGAGGTGGTGTACGTTGAGCCATATAAGGACGAACACAACGAGCTGGAGTCCAAATGATCTCGCCATGGTCGTCTATTGCAGCATAGCCTCGACCCCAGGTAATGAGGGAGGCAGGCCCTTTCCAGGTGGGATCAGGCAAACGTCGATAGTATACCTGGGGGCGTGAAGAATCTGTGGGAGAAGCAGAAAAATGCCTGCTTGCGGCAGTTGAGCCAGGGGTGCCAGAAACATTCAAAAAGTTTAAGGTAAAAAGTACAAGATTAAGAGTGTTTTGTATCCCAGGCAAGCCGGGGGTATTTTCCCCTTTCTTTTTTGCATGCATGTCTAGAGCCTTTTTTACGGTCTGATTGGCTCGTTCCACGATCGCTTGACCAGTGGAGTTATATGGAATGCCAAATTTATGAACAATAGACCAGCGAGAGCAAAACTGCGCAAAGGAGGTGCTGGTATAAGCAGGAGAGTTATCAGTCTTAATTTCTTTTGGATTGCCCAGGGTAGAAAAAGTACGAATACAATGATTAATAACATGTTTAGCAGACTCACCCCTTTGAGGGGTGGCCATAATAAAACCTGAATAGGTGTCAATGGAAACATGCAAATATTTCCAGGGGGCAAATGGCAAATATTGTGTAACATCCATTTGCCAAAGTTGACAGCTCTGCGTCCCTCTTGGGTTGACCCCTTGAGGAACAGAGTGTGCTTGGAGGCTGCAGGTGGGACATTGTTGTATGATAGCCGCAGCCTCCGTAGCCGTTAAAGAAAATTGTTTCATTAAAGCCTTCTTATTTTGATGAGAATATGAATGGCTGTCCCATGGGGTTATGGGAGATAAAACAAGGACAGAAACGTCCTGGTGAGTGGAGGCGGCCGAAGCGGCAGCATCCGCCTTGGCATTGCCTTCAGAGATAATACCAGGGAAAGATTGGTGACTTCTAATATGAGCAGGAAAAAAACAAGTAGAGCGGGAATGAAGAAGGGATTGAAGTGTGAAAAATAGACTGAGGAGAGAGTCATCCAGCGAGGGTGACACATATGAATCAGATAAAGAGGTGAGAACTTTATATACATAAAGACTATCTAAAATAAAATTAAAAGGTTCAGAAGAAAAAGTTTGTAAAGCCAATATTGTAGCAGCAAGTTCAGCACGCTGAGCAGAAGTTTGAGGAGGAGTAATTTTTGTGTGCCATTGTTCACCCTCCTTCCATACACATGAACCATAAGTCTTGCTGCCATCAACATACAGGGTGACAGCGTTAGGAATGGGAGAGGAGGAAATGGGAGAATGCAGAGAAATTGAAACATTATTAAGGAGTTGGAAGCGAGGGTCAGAGGGAATATGACAGGAAACAGATCCTGCCCAGTCAGCAAGAGAAAGTTGCAATACATCTGAAGAGTACAATTGAAGCAAGTGCCTTGGGGCTGATTTCCCTTTTGGATTGCAGCTGCAAGAGTGTCCATTTGAAAAGCATTGGTTCCCACAATGTAACAGGCTTTAAGAAAATCTGCTAAGGTGGCCGTGGGAGTGGAAACAATTGGTTTAAGAATGGACTGGCAGTCTGCATTTGCATGTTCATAAGCCAATTTTATGAGGATTTCATTTGCTGCATCTCTGTTTGAAATTTGACGCTCAAGGGCAACTTGCAGGCGATTCACAAAGTCTGCATAGGATTTAGTTGCAGTTTGGCGAATGGCAAAAAAAGATTGAATCGGGGTGCCAGACTCATCAACACGAGCCATGGCAGAAAGAACACAAGTATTAATGATAGGAAATGCAAAGGGAGTAAAAGTTTGAGCTTGAGCATTAAGGGTAGCAAAATTGCCTTTTCCGAAGAGTTGTTCTGCTGTCCATTGTGAACCTGAGTGATTAGCTCTGTTTTGTGCCTCTCTTTTATATTCAGATTCAAAGACTACGTATTGTGTTCCGTTAAGAAGCATGCGGAACAGATCTTTCCAATCTTGAGGCAACATTCGATATGCACTAGCAATTGAATGTATTAGTCCTCTAGTATAGGGACTGGTTATGCCATAATCTTTTGTAGCCTTTTTCAATTCTCGGATCATAGCCAAGGGAAGTGCTTCCCAATTAACTACTATCCCTGCTGCAGTCTGTTGGTAAGTAACAGGGAACAACTCTGTCTTGGATAGTTCAGAAACGCTTAAATCACCACTGTTTAAAGCCTTTTGAAAAGCACCACGGATGATTCCGGGCCGGGAGACAGGCGACAACGTGGCAGGAAAAGGAGAGGCTGTTTGTTGTTTATCAGGATCCATAAAATTTGCAGGGGCAGAAGGAGGGTTAAAACCAGCTCCAGGGGGTAAGGGAGTGGCCAACATAACAGACGGATTTTTAAACAGTGGAGGGTCTAATAAAGGCTGATGAGGCGAGTCAGCATGGGTTTGAATCAGGGTATAGGCAATTTTCCAAAGGCACAAAATCTCTGCTGGGGCTCTTGGAGACTGTTGGAGAACGGTGCCAATTTTCCTCCATGTATCTACTTTTAAAGATCCAGACTCCGGATAGGATGAGCAGTTAGCCCATACGTAAGCAAGCAATTTAACAGCCTCAGATTTAGAAAGGTGATGGGTTAATTTCTGTTCCTGATCAGTAAGATATTTTTTCCTGCCAAGTAGCCTCAGCTATTCCACATGCTGCTTTTGAGACATTCCACCCCCCATACTTACGAAGAGGAGTCAGTTGCCAGCAACTTCGTCGGGTGCACCAAGCCTATTCCAGGCGATAAGTAAAGGGTCGGCAGGGACGTATCCCTCAGTGGATCACGTCGGGGTCACCAGATGTGGTGGTCTCCCATGGAGAATGAGACACGCACACAGGTATCTTGGGATGGGAGCCCAGAGCTGACTCTTGCACCCTATTTTATTGTTACTAAGGTTTTTACATCACACAGCGTAAGCAAAAGACGTATATAGGGGTGGTTACAATGTATCAAATAACAGACACTTTCCAGATGCAAGGCTACTGCAGGTGTTCTTATCAGAGTCTGTCCAAATGGTTGATGAATGCATCCTGTGTCTAGAGCGGTCCGTTTGTTATCTCAAGGACCTTGTGGGAGATGTCTATGGGCAGATGCCCATGGACATATTTGTGCAATTAATCCCACAGATGCTGGAACCTGGCCAGCAAAATCTCTCCAGAGAGAGGAAAGATTGTGAGATAGCGCATGTACACTCTGGACAGCTACTTCTCATGAGTAGACCATAGAAATCAAGATTTTGCAGTTGGCTTTGCAGATGGCTGAGTGTTGAGGGATACCATCTAAGCTCGCAGTCTCATACTGCTGTTAACCATCAAACTATATCACCATAAGAGCATTGAATCAGAAACTACTAAGAATTTTGTCATAGCTCAATTTTTATCCTAGTGTAATGTGATGGCTAGCAAAAGATAGTAGCTCTTGAAGCAGGTTTCTGCCTGCTTAAAAAGCGTACCTGTGACTATTAATTTAGCATACTGATTTCTGACTGTGGGTGCATCAGATAAAAACTAAGACATTTCTGCATGTCTACACATCTGATCTGCACTAGCTGTATTGTGACAGAATTATGTTTTACATCATGGGAAAAATGAAAGCTATACATTTTAAGGAAGAGAAAGTGGGGCTAGGAAGGAAATTGTCACAATTTGAATGGAATTAGGCACAGTGCCAGTATTTAATCTTCATTTATCATCCTAATCCTACAGAACTGGAAGACAGTCTAGATTAAAAAATTTAAAAATCAAGCACAATGCATTTAAAAGTATCAGTAGTACAATTGTTATGAACTAAACTCAATATTTTCCAAACTTCACATTATATATATATATATATATGTATGTATAATTTCAAAACCTGTTTAAAGTAAATAAGCTTTGCAAGGCATCTAAACACAATCCATATCACGTTGGGGAATCATGGTTGTGATGAATCACACATAATAATCTAGATTTTTCTCCATATCATGTCTTGAGCTATGATATAAAAAGGACTATGATAGTCATTTGAGAGTCTTTCACTCTGAATCTGTGTCTGAAGAAGATACAACTGTCTTTTATCATAATGGAGCACAACACAAAACAGAAAATATTTTATTTCTAGCAAAAAACAAATATTACGTCTGATTAGCTTTCTTGCTCCATTATCTCAAAATACCTTTGCCGAGCACTCATATTTGAGTCTGTGTCTGAACAAAACCTGGACATTTCAGCCCAAAGATCACCAAAACTGGTTGTTTTGTGCACGAAACAGCATGTGATTGAACTTTCGGCATAACCCTTTCAGGTTCTTCTCTCTAAAGCAAGTTGGTTCTACATAAACAGTAAATTACAAAGAAATTTTGGGACAAAGCAGCCCAAGAGCATCTCCAACTGTGATATCTGTGCGTGGTGTCTATGTGTGGTCTTGACAGTGCAAATAAAGTAACAACTTCAAGCTTCATCTCCTGGCATAGTTATGGGAAGAAAAGGATTTTTGAAAAAGAGGCTACATGAAAATTTCAGAGTAACAAAAATTAGTTTCAGTTTAGTGGAACAGTAACATGGATAACATCCTTTTTCGGATCAGAGTGAACTCGAATAGCAATTTTACCCAAGAATAATTTTAGCATCTACAGACCAAATCTGCATGTGTGTGAATAGCTCTGAGGACTACTGCTACTTGAAGTATGCAAAGTTTGTATCCTAGTGCACTGAAGCATTGAACCTAGGTTTCCTCTGTTCCCTATTATGACAGTTATACAGTAATGCCTTACCAATTTGTAACTGAATATAAAAAACAGTCCTACTGAAAAGACTTCTCCACAGGATATTTGAATTATTATACTTAAATTACAAATGCAACAAAACAAAACAAGACAAAGAAAAAATCTCTCTGCAATGCCATATTTTTTCACAACTTACCTAAGTCTCCTTCAAGTCAAACTTCACGGAAAACAATAGTTTTATGGGCAACATCATAGAAGTGGTTTCCTATTGCCTTCTTCTGGGCATTTTTTTGACCTCCTAGTATGGTCTGCTGTTCCTGAAGCTCTCCATTGATGTACCAGTCAGGCCCAATCCCGTTTAGCTTCACATAGAGGCTTCCATCATCTGACAAACCTGAAACAGTTCAAATTACTGTTACAGCATCATGGCACCTGGAATAGCTGGAAGAGGGTACATTAGGAGAAATTCAAATATGTATTTATTTTGTTATTGACTTTTTTTTAAAAAAAATCACAAACTGATTAAGAAAACCATCAAGTATCTCCTCCAATCTTTTCAACAAAAAGTGTAATCACATTATTTGAAATCTGTTGAAATAGATAGGTATAAATACTAACACTACTGGTATGTTGGAATCTGCCCACTGGTTTCTACCAGTCTTTCTTCTCTATGAGGAAAAATATTTTTATATTTTATTATTTGGGTGTTTTCATTTGATTTAGTTATGTTTGAAAGGTTACTTGATAAGACATAGAGCAGGATGCTATTGATGTTGCTTTCCATTGCATACCTCTAAGTCCTCACTAGGTGCCTTTCTTTCTTCATCAGTCATACTCCATGGTAGAATATTCCTCGTGATGGCCTTCCCTTGGCTCAACTGAAGTGTGGAAAGTTAGAGTAGCAGCAAGGTGTGTCTACATGAGACTTGACAAACATTCTGACTTAACACATCATTAAAAATTAAAGATAAAATCTCTACAGAAAGTATATGGGTCAATATAAAAGAAAAAAAAGTGATATTGCCATAGGTGTATATTATAGGCCACCCAATCAATCAGAAAAAATAGACAAACTCTTTGCCAACCAGTTAACAAATGCATGTAAGAGGCATACCACAGTAGTAATGGGAGACTTCAACTATCCAGATATCAACTGGGAGACAAACTCTGCAGTGAGTGGGAGATCAAACAGATTCCTAACCAACCTAGATGACAACTTTGTCACCCAAAAGGTGGAGGAGGGAACTAGATGCAAAACTATACTGGACTTAATCCTTACAAACAGAAGAAGTCATAGAGAGAATTGAAATTACCAGAATCTTGGGCGAAAGTGACCATGTCATACTGGAATTTAATATAATGCAAACACTAGCAATAGAAAACAATCCAACCAAAGTCCTAAACTTCAAAAGAGCCGAATTTAACAAACTCAGAGAGAACCTAGGAAAAATCCCATGGATGGAAATCCTAAAGGGAAAACAACTCAGGAAGTGTGGGAAACCCTGAAAAATGTGATCACAAAAGCCCAGACCAGCACAATACCACTTAGAAAGAAAAACAAGAAATCCAAGAAGAAACCAGCATGGCTGTACAAAGATCTCTCTAACAAACTAAAAGACAAAAAGGACAAATACAAAAAATAGAAACAGGGGCACTAGGACCTGACAGACTACATCCCAGAGTTCTGAAGGAGCTGACAGATGTTATCTCAGAGCTGTACCACATCTTTCATAAATCCTGGAGCACCGGGGGAAATACCTGAGGATTGGAAAAGGGCTGATATAGTCCCATCTTCAAGAAAGGGAAAAAAATGGACCCAGGAAACTGCAACCAATCAGTTTAATATCAATACCTGGGAAAATCCTAGAAAAGATCATCAAAAAACAGATCTGCAAACAACTAGAAACAAACAAAATCATAACTAGTTGCCAACACGGGTTTGTTAAAAACAGATCATGCCAAACCAATCTCATCTCATTCTTAGATAAAGTGACTAAACTAGTAGATCAATAAAATGCAGTGGACATAGTATACTTAGATTTCAGTAAGGCATTTGACAAGGGTAGACCAACTTACTCCTTGGTAGGAAAAGATGGAATAGACAACATTACTACCAGATGGATCTGTAGCTGGCTAACAAACTGTACACAATGAGTAGTCCTCAATGGCACTACATCCACATGGAGAGAAGTAAATAGTGGGGTACCACAAGGGTTGACTAGTGTAAAGAAAAGAAGAAATAGGGGAGACATGATAGCAGTGTTCCAGTATCTGATGGGCTGTCACAGGGCAGAGGGGGCCAGGTTATTCACCAAAGCACCAGAGGGATGGATGAGAAACAACAGTTGGAAACTGATCAAAGAGAGAAGCAACCTGGAACTAAGGAGAAACAGTGGAACAGCTTACCCCCCAGAAATCGTGAGTGCTCTATCACTGGATATTTTTAAGAGGAGACTGGACATTCACCTGTCTGAGATGGTGTTGGTTCTCCTGATTGAGCAAGGGGCTGGACTAGGAGACCTCCAAGGTCCCTTCCAGCTCTATTCTATTCATATTAAGGCAAATCTTTGAATCTTGCAGATCACCATGATTATTTAACTAAAATATTCTCCTTTTATAAATGTCAAAATTAAATTATGACCCAACAGATAAAGAATACATATTTTTATCACAACATTAAGAAATACATAGCACATATATTGATTTTATCCAACCAGGCATAGTTTTTATCTATTTAGATCCAGTACATGGATTCCCCCCCCCCAAAAAAAAATTCCCTTAGCTCTCCTTCACTGACATTCCAGCGTATGGAATTCTGACTGAAGAAAACTGCATAAATGAAGGAAAAGCCTGGACATACTTTTGGCTTTATTTCAAGGAGCAGAGCCAGTTTGGGAACTAGAGGCAGCAAGATTCTATGTTACTGATAGGGCACAGAAAAATGTGATGTTTGGGGAATTAAAACAGTCAGAATGTTCTGAGTTTTTTCACCATTAAAGCAGTGATTTGTTAGACTGCATCATATTGCCAGTTCCCACTGTTCCACATTAGATTACATAAACTGTGAAGATACAGAACATACCAATATTTTATGCAGAAATTGTAATACTGCAGCATTGACTGAACATTTGTACAATGGACTTAGTTTGGGATAAATTACTATTTTTGAAATATAAGTTCCCATCAATAAAATCAAAATTATAGAAATCCATTTAAGTTTCAAAGTCCCTGAAAAGAACAGTTTAGATTAATGTCTCACATAAATGGTAAGCTTTCTGGGAAATATTTCACTTCAATAGTTTTTATATTCTGTATTTTGAGTTTATGTGTGCATGTATTTCTGAGTTGGAAATATGAATGCAATAATATGTTGGCTTATAAAGTAGTCTTTGATCCAAGCTTGTACAGAACAGCATTGACGTACTTGGGATGAAACTGATTGTGCTTCTACCTAAAATGTACGAAAATATTATTATTGATAACATGTGGCAGGAGTCTGACTAAGATTGGTATAATTTTCTACATCTTCTTCATACCACTGCAGAACTTTGTGGTAGTATAAATCATGATAGACAGTAGTCAATATATAGGTATAGGGTTTCCTGCCTAAGCAGGGGGTTGGACTAGAAGACCTTCAACTATTCCAACTATTCTATTCTATTCTATTCTATTCTATTCTATTCTATTCTATTCTATTCTATTCTATTCTATTCTATTCATAGATTCTGACATCATCTGAAGATATCCAGAGCAGTGGAAGACTGGAGGATTATGACTTGGAATGTAAAAGTTAATAATAGAGAATATAAATAAAATAAATGAAGGGAAGATATATCTATTGCATGTCTGTAAAAAAGAAAAGGGGAAAGAACATCATAGATTGGAAGGAGGTGATCTGACTTTGTGGAGTTGATGGATATATGTAGAGAATGAAGTTGTAGGATCAATTATGAAAGATTAACATGCATGTGAGAAGGTATATTATTATGAATGCACATGAAAATAGGAATTGTAACAGTTGCATATAATCTTAAAGCATATGGGATAATGGAAGAACCAGATATAGTTTTGAGAAAAAATGTGCAATATTTTGAATAAATGTGATCAGGGGAAAAAAAAGTCTGCTAATGATAAATGTGGAAATCAGATAAGAGACTACAGTAAAAGTGACTGAGACATTTAAAGATCAAGAATGAAAGCGGATGTTGAGTAGTGACTATCTGCTTAGAATATGTTTTTCCTATGATTAAAGTAAAGTAAAAGAAGGTTTGATTCCTCCCCCCCCCCCGATGTTCAATGGGTGATTGAATAAACATATTGGGCATATGTATGGTGATGATATAAACATGTTGGTTGAGATGTCATTTTATATGCTTTGTTGTTTGCTGAGATTAGGTTCTGATAAACTCAAAATGTGCTACACAACAAAACCTTTTCCATTCTTTCCCAAACAAAATATGGAAATGGTATTCTTGGCTAAGAGAGACTTACAGGGTTATGTCAACCAGTTACAGATGGGAAGAGTGTGTAAATCCTGGTCCTGTTAAATAAGTCAGTGGTTTTTTGATTCCATCAACTGTGGTATCTCCCTGGTCTGTCTGCAAAGGTTGGGAGTTGGAGACACTATTTTCCTGAGGTTCCATTTTTACTTCAGTGGACAGGTCCAGTCATTGGACATCAATGTGGATGTAGTACCATTGAGGACTACTCATTGAGTACGTTTTATCAGGCAGCTACAAATCCATCTGGTGATGATGTTGTCTATTCCACCTTTTTCTAGCTTGCCAAGGAGTAAGTTGTGGTCTACCCTTGTGGAATGCCTTACTGAAATCTAAGTATACTATGTCCACAGCGTTTCACTGGTCTACTAATTTGGACACTTTATCAAAGAATGAAATAAAATTGGTTTGGCATGATCTGTTTTTAACAAACCCATGCTGGCTACCAGTTATAACTTTGTTTGCTTTTAGTTGTTCACAGATCTGTTTTTTGATTATCTTTTCCAAGATCTTCTCAGGTTAGACTGATCGGTCTGTAATTTTCTGGGTCTGTTTTTTTTTTCCTTTCTTGAAGATGGGAACTACATCAGTCCTTTTCCAATTCTCAGGTACTTCCCTGGTGCTCCAGGGTTTTTGAAAGATATGGCACCATGGTTCTAAGATAATTGCCAGCTCTTTCAGAACTCTGGGATGTAATCTGTCAGATCCCGGTGATTTATATTCGTCAAGGTTGGATAGGTGTTCTCTTTCCATTCTCTTGCTTATTTTAATTTTTGTTTCTAGTTTATCTTTTGCAGTAGTTTTTTTGGTATGTTGGGCTATAATTTCTTTTTGTGTGAAGACTGATGCAAAGTATGCGTTAAGCAGCTCTTCTTTCTCCCTGTTGCCTGTTACT